TTTGAGCAAAAACCTACCATGAGTCAGCACCAAGAATAAAACCTCCCAGGACCCCGTGGAACATTTTAAACACATTCTCACAATCTCAGTGGTAGCTTTACTCCTGTCTTAGCAGAGCCCCCTGACTTCTGGCCATCCGTGAGTCCCAGCTCCATCCACGAGTCTGTGTGGGGGGAGGAAGGGCAGCTGCGGTGCCCATTTTCCTCAGCAAATCCCTGTTTCAAGCAAAGGGAACCGAAAGCCAGAGGACAGGAGCCCTGGTGAGTGCTCTCCTGTCCCCAGAGCTGCATGGCCACAGTGGTCATGCAGGAACCAGTGCTGGAAGCTGGTTTGTGAGGTGAACAAAGGGAACCCTAGGACTCAAACAAAAGCCCAAATCTTAGGCCTTTTTTTGCTGAGAAAAGTCCCTTTTTCCGTCTACAGGGAGACATCCTGCAGACAAGGTTTTATTCTTTATAGAACAGTCTGTACCTCTCGCCCACCCTTGTCTTCATCCATAGCTGCTCCCCCAAGCGGGGCGGCAGTGGTCCTGTGTGGTCCAGTCAAGAGGAGACACCTGGAACGGGCCGGGACACGCTCAGTCCCAAGTGCCCGTCAACCGTTGTCTTAATCGTCGTCTTCCTCTGATTCTTCTGCCGACTCGGGGGCGCTCTCTGGCAAGTCATCTCCCATCTGTTGGAATCCTTTCGACTGTGCGTCCCACATGTATTTGATGGTCACTTTGAATTCAGCCATCTCATATCCGAAAAGCTTCTGCAAGAGAGACAAAGGAGTCAAGAGTCAGGAGGAGCGCGTGTGATCAGACTCTGTGGTCCCCAACCCCCTACTCGCCACAGGCCGCAGACTGCTGGGAGGGGCTGGACTCACCAAGATGCGGGCCTGCTCTGGGGTCAGCACGTCACCCTCCTTGCACACCTCATAGTCGGACAGCAGGGTCACCACACCTGTAGAGAAGGGGAGCCCCCGAGCAGTTATTTCTGGCACAGGGGCCTGTGCAGAGCTTTCTGTCTGCGGCCCACAGCTGGGAGGAATCTGGTTGGCCACCTGTCCCCTCTCCAACTCTAGTTCGCACTGGGGACAGGATTAATCAGCAGTGTTCAGCTCCCTGCAAGGGAGTTCAGGGAGCAGTGACTGCCTCCCTCACTGTCCCGTAAATGCTGTATTCTGGCTGTAAGTCACTGTCCACACTCACCCCAAGTATGAGGTGAACATTCTAGCCCCACTTTCTCACAAGGAAATGGAGACTGGCGGAAACAACCTGCTCGGCCACAAAGGGAGCCTATGCTCTTGGCCACTATGCTGTGACCTTTAAGCTCCAGGGAATTCCCCCTACCTCTCTTGAGGGCAGTGGGCAGGCCCAGCTGCCTCAGCTGAGGCTCCATGGAGTGGGGGAACTGCTCCAGGGGCCCCGGGTCCAGGCTCACGGTGAAAGCTGCTTTGTTTCCAGCGCGGGCGTAGTCCATTTCTGTGTATTTTGTGAACCACCTTCAGGAAAGAGAAGTGGTAGGGGGAGGTTCCTGACTGGGTCACCTGCCCACCTGAAGTCAGGTGCCCCCCCCAGCCCCCTGCCCCTGGCCTTCCCTCTCTTCCCTCAGCACCAGCTAGAGAGAACCAAGGACTCAGAAACAGGGCTCTAGGGACCAGTTCTCATTTGACGCTCCCACTATACAAAGTCTCTGGGTTACTCCTTCCCCGGAGTCCTCACCGACCTTTCTCTTCCCCACCGTTCTTCGAAAACACTCACTCATTCACTTCCTCCTTAGTCCGATTGGTGAAAAGGAGACCTACTTCACCCCTCAACTTCTTGCTGACCTACGGAACAAAAGTGAGGTTGGTTTGGTCATACTAGAGCAGTGGCTTTCAACCGGGGATAATTTTGTCCCCTTACCCCCCGACATTTGGCAACATCTGGAGACATTTCTGGTTGTCACAGCTGGGCGCATGTGCACATGCACGCTGCCCTCTGGGTCTGGAGGTTCAAGAACTGGAGCTTTAAGCCAGCCCTGCTCTCCTGATCCCTGAACCAGCCAGATGGCTGGAGTGTGTGTCATGTGAGAGCAGCAGGTGACAAGGCAGCTTGGCCTTGGCCCTTCCTAGTGAGGGTCAGAGACTCACCTGATGCAGGTTGTCTTTGTACTCGTCAGATGGGCTTCGACCTAAGGCCACCATCATCACTTTGTTTTTGCCAAAGAACATCCTACAGAGAAGAATAGGGGTTGGTGAAGGTAGTGCCTGGCTTAGCCCAACCCCGCGGTAAGTGTGAATCAACCCCTGTCCTTGGGAGCTCGAGCCCAGGCTGTTTCATAGTGTGGCCAGAGGCTCCCACTTCTTCCACGAAGCTCTGCCCCTCTGTCCCCAGCCTAGGGCCCCTTTTCCTATTTTCCTGCCCACAGACCTTGACAGTCACAGGATTCTGTCTCCTAGTCCACTCTGAGCGCTACGTGATAATCCGCCCTTCCCGTCTGAATGTATGGAAGAGGCCCATTTAATGGTCTGACTAGAGCTGGCGCAGCAAGCGACAATCAGAGTCATCACTAGCACTGTCATAACTCCAGTCCAAGGACAGGTACTCGCCACATGGCTTGTACAGCCTGCTCTCGAGTCACTGTTGCATCCTGGAGCACATGACGACATTCTTAAACAGATGGGATGTTCCTAAACAGACCAGACCAGGGGAAAGAGAGGGATCACTGCTCAAACATTCCCTGAACAACTACCACATGCTGCCCCGCAAGCACAGTGCAAGACCAGCTGTAACAGTTAAAGAGTACCTTCAGTGGGGGTGTGGCACTTTATCCTTATTAAGATGCCACCTGTGTGACCCAGGTACCCAAGGGTCAATAACTGCCCCTGTGCTTTGACTGAGAGCAGCCTGGCTTCCCACCGCCTGCTCACCGGCTGTGCTTCCAGGCGTTCCGGATGTCCTTCAGCTTGCTGTTTCTCATGTTGGCCACGGAGAAAATGAAAAGGTGCTTGTATGTGTCCACACATTTCCGAAGCTGTGGAACAATTCATGTATTCTGTATTCCGGCTCTGGCTCATGGGGCTCTGGAGTTCAAGGGGCACCATGGGCTGGGCAATACTCTGGCCTCAGATGGGAAAGATGTGCTCTAGGGAACTTACAACTGTGGAATTTTAGAGCTGGAGGCCTCTAAGACAGGATCACTTTGTACAGAGGCTCCCCCGGGGCAAAGTGATCTCAAAGTGCGGTGGAAGCTGAGCCATGGGTCAAGATCATACGGTATTCCCACGTTTCTGACTTATCTGTGGCCACCTCTCTTTGCTTTGTCTGTTAATTGTCGATAACCTAGAAATACTTAGGTACACTAGGAAGGCTCCTACTAAATGAAACATGAAGCCTCATTATTTACTCATAAGGGGAGGTGGTTCACCAGTCCCACTCTGCCCACGTTGCTGGCCACAGCTATGAAGAGGTGGTCTCAAGGAAGAGAATCTTTCTGCAGGAGGAGACTCCCTTTTCATCCAGCCTGCAGTCCTGAAGCAGTGGGTTGGTGCATTTACGCAAGTCTGGCAACTCTCAGCTTTTTGATATTGGGCAGGTGAAAAATCTCTGTAAAATTCAGCTACCCAAATGGAAAACAAGGATAATATAAATGGAACACAGCACAGTGCAGAGCATACGGTAAGAGCTCAGTCAGAGCTGGAAATCAGTATTATAGGAGTTTTTATTGGTGCTGCCACTGGAGGAAAAAAGACTAGATCAGCAGCTTCTTTTTCTTTCATAAACAGTATGTTTCCCTAACATATAGTCCTACACCCACCTTTAGAAACCAAATACATGGCATAGAAAAATAAAAAGAATAAGCTCTTACCTCTTCTATCAGGTTCTGCTTCAGTTCCAAGCCTTTCTTGGCAGTTTTGGTTAAGGAAACTGATACAAAGAAGAAAAAGGAAAGCTGATGAGAGGCAAATATGGATGTTCTGGAGATTCATTTTCTTCTCCACTTTGTTAGCTTGGCTGGACCAAGCCAGACTGAGGAAAGGCAGCAAGAATATTCCCGGGCTCCTCAGAGTGCCTACTTTCTGGTGTTCCTGAGCTTGGAGGTCCTTTAATACATTTCCTGTTCCTCACGCACACTGCTCCTTAGCCCCTCTTAGTTCAACCTAAAAATCTGTACTGAGGTATGGGTGTGGGGCTTGTTCCTACTCTTGGAAAACATTTGAGGGGCTGACCAGGAAGGGGCCTCTTATTCATCCTGGCTGGCACTTAGTCCCTCTTTACAAGGCATACATACAAAAAGGCAATCACACTGGTCAGGGGCAAGTACAGCACAGGAAGGCAAACAAAACACACTTATCTATTTCCCATCACTTCCACTGCTACGACTGTGAACCAAGTTAGCATCACCCTCTCTTGGATTACTGCTGGTCTTGCTGCTTTCACCCTTGTGTCCACCTTACCCAGTCCATTCTCAACAAGGCAACTAGGGTGATCTTTTAAAAGTAAACTTAAACCATGTCATTACTCTGCTTAAGCTCTCAGATGGCTACCTAATTCACTGAGATGCGAAAGCCAATTCCTTGCAAAGGTCTTAAAGGCCCTGCCCACTCTGCCCCAGCCACACTGGCGTCTTGTCCCAGAACATGTTAAACATGTCCTTACATCAGCCCCTTTGCACTTTGTGTTCCCTCTCCTTGGACCACCATTCTCCAGGGAACTCTATGGGTTGCTCACTTCCTTCCTACAGGTTTCTGTTCATTTGCCACCTCATTAGAGAGACCTTCCGTGGTCGCATTATACAAAATAACATCATCTCTTTCACTTTTGCTCCATGTGACTCATTACTCTCTGACTTTAGTTACATGATTTTTGGTGTTTTGAGGGGATATGCTTCTCATGATTAAAATGTTAAACTCGATGAGGGCTCTAGGCCTTACTTATGACTGCTGTACCCTCCTATGCAGACCCCTAAATATTTGTTGAGTGAATGTGCTAAGCAGCCGAGGTGAGAGAAACGCCACCATAGTTAGGAATGCTCTCTTACGAAGCGCCCTATGAACTGACAACTGAGAGGCAGCATATGAAGATCCGAGCATAAGCATACCAAGTAGAGGAACAACAAGTACAAAGAACCAGGCGCTGGAATAAGCCTGTGCTGAAGGGATGGGAAAGGCGGCCGGAGCAACAAGAGCGCAGAGAGTTATGAAAGACAGACAGAGGAAAGAAAGGTGGGCCAAGTTAACATGGGGAGCAGTTCGAGTGCTCAGAAACTGTTTTCCAGCCCAGGAGGCTCTAGAACCCTTCGGGGCTCCCTCTGCCCCAGATGTTGCCTCCACCAGCCAGCAGCGAGCCCGCGGAACCTCCTTCCATTGCCCCCCTAACTCCATCGCAGCCAGCTGCCAGCCGACGGAGTTCTCCACCGAGTCCCAACGTCCCCTTCACCCACCTTTCTTGTCGCGCTTGGATTTAGGCATCGCGCAGCAACCACGTGCGGCGGAAGGCGGAGTTGCCTGTTAGGACCCCGGCGGCGCGGGGGCCTCTGGGACGGCCCGCGGGGGCTGCCCTCGGGCGTGCCTGACACAACTTGCGCTGCAGCCCTCCGTCGGCCGCCACCTGCGTTCTTCCCCACGTTTCCAAGTAGACTTTCCTCGCGTCTGGGAGCCACCGGATCCTGAGCGCCCCACCGAGGGCTTTGCGTGTCGTTCCAACTCTATGGTTCCGCGGAGGCGGAGGTGGCAACGCGGTGCATGCCGGATCGGCGGAAGGCGGGGTCCGGGCTCCCATCATGGCGGCGGCGGCGGTGGCCTCCGCCTCCCGGTTCTGGCTCTGGGCGACCCTTCTTGTCCCTGCGGCCGCGGTCTACGAAGACCAAGTGGGCAAGTTCGATTGGTGCGTACATGTGGGGCCTCTTCAGGCTATTTTCCCTTGCTAAAGGGAGGGAGGTTAACATGCAGCAGGACTGGCTAGGCTACATGACCTGCGGGGGCCCAGTGCAAAAGGAAATGTGAGACCCTTGTTCAAAAGTTAAGTTTTAGAATGGCGACAGCAGAGCATTAAACCAAACGTTGGGGGGCGTATCTAAACCTCCCCATGTGATTATAGGTTGCAAGCAGGTGCAGCTGGCCCTGTCATTCAATCATGTCATGCTTGGTGTTCAGGTCAGAGATCACGGTTCCCTCCTTTCCCGTCCGGTCTCATTTCTGTGACTGGCAGGTTTCTGATCCACTGCGTGTCAGAGGTCGACAGCCCTCAGTGAACTGTCACTCCTTTTCGAATTGGCGTCTCTTGACCATGTTAACAGGGCCTTGGGTGTTATTATATGTCCTAAACGGAGTCCTCTTTCCCCTTCTTTCCAGACCAGCCCGGCTCTGGGCTCAGAACCGAGCCGCTCATGTTTCACGTCGGCCAGGAGGTGCCATTCATGGAGGTGTCGCTCACTCACTCACCCCCACCCCCCCATTCCCCCACCTTCTTACTTAAGGCCTTGGAATTGACTTGCTTTTGGTTGAATCTCAATTTTTTCACTTAAGAGTTGTGTGTTCTTGGGAAAATGACTTAACCACTCTATGCCATGGTTTATCTGTGAAATGATTTACTAACATTAGTCCCTTAATTCCTTAAATTTGCACAATGCCTGGCTCATTGAGTGCAATCAATAAGTGTTACCCATTATTATTACTACTCAGGGAACGTTTTATCCTTCAGAGCCCAGCTCAGATACCTCCTCTGTGAAGTCTTCTCTGTATCAGGCAATTACTTCACATATTTGTCGAGTGCCTATATAGATCAATGTTCTAGGTGCCATGGATACACAGATGTGAAGGAGCTCATGGGGCAGATAGGCAGTAAGTCCTCACTTAACGTCATCAATAGATTCTGTGACTTT